CCCCCCCCCCCCCCCTCCCCTCCCCTCCCCTCCCCTCCTGTGGTTTGTTTGCCTCAGGACGAGACTGCCGTGAAGTCTTTGGAGGTCCTGGCAGGCGAAGTGGCGGCCCCGGCACCTACCCCAGCGCCATCGGCGGCCGCCACGGAAGCCGCCGCCATCACCACCGCACCCGTGGCCCCTCCCGTCGGAGACGCTCTCGAGTCGCCGGTGGAGCTGGAGTGGGAGTTGAACGATGCTACGGGCGTGTTTATGGGGGAGATCGAGATGGGGGCGGTGACGATAGACAACTTCTGGGGGGTGACGACCACGCGCGCCTTCAACGGCCAGGTGCGTTTTTTGGCCAGGTGGCGTAGTGGTGCTGGTGCTGGTGCTGGTGCTGGTCGGGATGTCGGGCTGTGTGGCGTGGCGGTGTCTGCTACCCGGTGCTTGTCACGCAGCAAGTTGTTTATCGGTGTCTCGTGAAGGTGAAAGGTATTGAGGTGTCCCAGGTCGGATACTGGGGGTACTGCTGATTCTGCAAGGAGTTTCGTCATCGTAGGCCATACCACAGCGTGTGTCACCAATGAATCCCGCCGTGCCCAACGTTTGAGTGTTGCAATCACGCCGCATGTCATGTGTCAACCACCGCAGATCCCAGGCCCCACGATTCGCATGGAGGCCTGCCAGACATATGAGCTGACGTACACCAACAACCTCGGGCCCCTCAACCCTGGCGGCGCGTGGAACACCATGAAAGACCCCAACACCACTAACCTCCACACGCACGGCCTGCACATCTCTGGAGAAAGCCCCGCCGATGACGTCCTGTACGTGGAGATCACCCCGGGGGAGAGCCACACATGTGAGGACGGACAAGCATGGCTAAGCTATCTATCTATACAAGGATGCTAGAGTGGCGAATCGAGATATTTGGGGGAGGGCGGTGCAACGGATGCTTGTGTCTTACTTGGTAAACGCTCCATGGCTCCATGAGCATGACTTGTTACCGCCCTCCTCCACCCTCATCGCGGTCGAGTCGCTTAGGTGCTGCCGTGCCCGCTCCACCATCTCTCGGCGACCTCCTAAACAATACCTTGCGTTTCCTGGTCCCTCGTTTTGTCGTCTTGCCCGTGCCTCCTCTTCGCCGTACCGTACCGTACCACTTGCTGGATGCTGTCCCTCAGTCGTGTACACCATCCCGTGTGATCACGCGGGAGGGACGTTCTGGTACCACCCACACCACCACGGCTCCACCTCTCTGCAGATGGGCGGTGGCGCCATGGGGGCATTGGTGGTCGAGGACAGGGTTGACGTGCACGGCATCCCCGACCAGATCGCCAACATGCCAGAGCTCGTGATGGTGATCCAGGAGATGAACCCGGAGCTGAGCACTGCGGACAGCGATGCTAGCGGCGATGAGCTCTACTCGACCACGGCTGCTCAAACGTAAGCAAGGGAAAGCACTGCAAATGAAAGCACGGTACTAGTCGTCCTTGTTTTCCCGCTGTGCTGGTGCTGGGCCTGCTGTTTTTTCATTATTGTTGTGGAAGCTGTCGTGGCCTGTGTACAGCTCTAGTACCTCCTTACCTGTAGCCTTCCGAGAGAGGTAAACTTCTTGGTCACGGAGCAACCAGGATAGGGTAGAGAGAAGAGCGCTGGACCATACCATCATGTAGTGAAAGAGAGTGTCGTCCACCAACAGTATTCACGTTGCCTGACTGGTTTTGTGTTTCGTGCTTGGAAATGTTGGTGTTGTCTGCTTGTCTGCTGGGTTGGGGTTGGGTGGTGGTGCAGACTATGTAGACAGTGAAAAACAGTTGCTTTTAAACAGCCTCCCGGTTATTGGCAAATATTCATACACTTCCAGAAAGCCTACACTATTTAGCCGTTATATATATCCGCCCAATCGAAGGCATGTGTGTGTTGGAATATTTTTCAGGAGTAGGGACTGAGTGATAGGGGGCTGGGCTGCCGGGCACTGGCCTTGTGTTGGGCCTGTTGAAGCCTTTACGATCCACTGATAGATCCATCGCGTCTCCGTGTGCTCCCGCTCCTCCTTTTCCTTTCTCGCTTCAGCCACTACCTCGTCAACGGACAAGTGATGCCGACGATCCAGATGACCACGGGCGAGTGGGTGCGATTGCGAATGGCCTTCGCGGGACACGGCGACAACCACGCCATCTCGATCGAAGCCCCGGAAGACTCGTGCGAGATGGCAGTCCTGGCTAAGGACGGGGTGTATCTGGGAGAGGTGCCGCGGATGGAGCCCAAGCTGTTCTTTACGCCGTCCTCTAGGTGAGATGAGTCAGCAAGAGGTCCACGAGGATCTGGCGCTGCCCTCCCTGCTGCCGCTGGAAGGGCTAGGGTGAACGACAGCGAGCTGTTATCATCGTGTTTCTTCGCGGTGGATGCACGCTCTTGATCATGTTCATGGTGTTGATGACACAGCGCGTGCGTCGTAGCTTCAGTCTGTGATTTGTGATTTCCGTGCATCATGCATCACGTCGCAGACACGTCGGTTTCCTCGCCCTTTTTTGTCCGGCGCAAGGTGCCTTTGTTCGACAGATGCAAAGTAAGACACCTTGGCTCCGACATAACCATGCTCTTGTTGCACAGATTCGGTCTCGAATTTTAACACGCCTTTGCTATGGCAATAATCTTATTTTTTTGTTGCACAGGGTTGACACTGCCGTCCGGTGCTCGGTGGCCGGGGACTTCGAGTTTAGGATCGAGTCGACGCGCAGCATCAATTCGACTACGCCCCTGGCGGCCTTGTATGTAGAGGGAGGCTCATCCTCCCCGGATGATGACTTGGACACCTGGACGCCATGCAGGTATGTACGTTTTTTGCGGCAACGACGGAACGATAAGAATTCGCTGGTGGTGGGTTGGTTGCCTGTAGGTTGTCGTCTAGCCGTGCCCCTGCCGGCGTGTAAACGTGTAGGAGTTGGTCGGTTGTGAACACCTGCACCGGTTGATCGATCGAGTCTGATTGCTGTATCTGAAACGAAGATACCAGGTCTTGGCGTTAGCGTCGCTGCTCTTGGGAGTTAACGCATGTACATACGCCACACACACAGGTTGTGTTCGTGCGGCTGGTGATGTACCGTTTGGTTCACCTTGACCAGCTGTGATGTGGATTGCCATGGTCATCTGGCGATCTATGTATACATACATGCGTGGAACACTGGACACCCCCACTCTCCACAGCAGTCCCGCCCCTTCAACCGGCGCTGGCGGCTTGTCACCTGCCACCCGCATGCCCATGACTCTTCGGACACCACTCCGGCCACTACGTGTTTACGCCATTTCTTGGTTGCCGTTATTGATGGTCGTGCGACGTCACTCTTCAATTGAATGATACACGGAACGTACCACTGAAGTACCTGGGAATCAATAACGCTAGGCCTACAAGCATCAACACTTGACATTTGACATTTTGGCCAGTCATGGACCCTGCACTGGACCCTATGGGAATCAATAACTCTAGGCCTACAAGCATCAACACTTGACATTTGACATTTTGGCCAGTCGTGGACCCTGCACTGAACCCTATGTAATTGACGTTGAGTTTACCCCCACGGAGAAGAGAAAATATCAACACATAGCAAGAAACCAGCCTTTTAAATGGAGCAAAGCAGGTGATTATTTTTTTCTTCATTTTTCTTGAGTGGCGTCTGACTCCCTCTGATGAAACGTCGCCCGCCGCGCCGCACCGCACCCCAGGCCCTACTACCTCCAAGACTTGGTCAACGCCACGTTGGGTGGCGAGACGCTTGGCCTCTTGGTTCGAGAGACGATCGGAGACGAGTTCTACAGCGGGCCCGAAAACTTCGTGGTGAACATGACCGTTGACGAGATACAGGAGTGGATGTTGGAGGGGTCGGAGCAACACCCCTTCCACATGCACGTGAACCACATGCAGTTCGCCATTGTGGACGGGCCGTCGCTGGTACCGGGCTGGAACCACGTTGGTGACTGGGTGGACACCGTCTCGAGTGAGTCGACCGCGCGTTGGTGCGGTGTGTTTGCTGGGCGAAGGGTAAGGGCAATGGTTGACTTGTTGGCAGCTACTGAGGCTGGAAAGCCACCGTTGCGTGTGCGCAGCAGGCATACAATGCTTGTGCACGACTAACCCAGGCTTGTTGTAGTGGCCCCGAACAGTCTACACCAAATTGGTTGCTCCTTGCTCCCTGTCTCTGCGCTGCTCTCTCTGGCACGCTACAGCAGAGTCTGTGCGTGAACACGAAGCCTGGGTAGGGTGTATGTAACAGCACTGCTGCTGCAGTGCACGCAACCCATGTCCACGCACGATGGCACCGCGGTGATTGATGCGGTACTGTACATTGCTGCCACCAGACACTGAACTGTTCCTGTCGTTCGTGTAACATCGCGCGTGTTTCGTTTGCGTTTCCTGTTTTTTTGCGCGCTTGTTTGATCAATCTGGCGTGCACTTTGTTTTTTGTTTTTCTTTAGCGACTGTGGCGGTCGTCCGGTTCCGCACGGAGCGTTACGGTGGCCACGTGGCCATGCACTGCCACGTCAACTCCCACAGCGACACTGGAGTGATGGCCGTCGCTGATATCGACGGGGGCGAGGGTCCCAACGAGGACCCGATCGCGCTTGCCGCTGGAACTTGCGGGTGAGAAGAGACCAGCCGGTCATGTCCTTGTCCTAACGGAGAAGTTTCTGAGGCCTCGAAACTTGACGTACTTTCATCGCCCCGTGTGTTGGCCTCGGAGTATCCAGTCAAGACTCATGTTATACATTACTTTTGGATGCTATTTTCGTTTCGTAGCCTGGCGTGCTCATCCACCGAGGACTCGAGGTGTACTGCCGCATGTTGGTCCCGGAGCAAGAATCAATGTCAAGACTCACACTGTGCGGGCACCACCGCACTACATGCCCAACGCGCTGTCGAGTTGTGTCCGGACGAGCTAGTTGTTCTGTGCTTTGCCCGCTCAGCACTCTGCGTGTTGCGACGAACACATGCACATCCATACAGCCTCGCGTTTTGGTGTATAGAGTACAAAGAGTTCGACAAATTGTGTTTGAAGATACATTGTCGCCTTTTGCATGGCATGTAGCCTAACCTGTGAGCCTGTCTTCCCTCCCGTCTCTGGACGTGCCCCCCACTTGCTCCCCACCGTAACCACAACGTGCTTATTGCCCCTTGATGTCCATCCTGTCCGTACACCCTTTCTTCTGGATCGCCAAACACAACCATATAATAGTATCGAAGGGGTTGCCGGATACGGCTACAACCTGAGTGCCGACGATACCGCCGAGACAGACGAAGACGGGTACGACGACGACGCTTCTGCCACCGCCGAGGAGAGGGCGACTGTCGGCAGCGGCAGCGGCAGCGGAGGCGACGGCTCGGTGGACCCCGAGGACACGTGGTGGGTTGCGGCCGCCGCCGGTGCCGGGGTAGGGCTCGGTATCCTTCTGTGCGGCGGGTTGTTGATGAGCAAGTTCGGCAAGAGGGACGCGGTCGCCGGGGCGCGGGCAGCAGCACCGGCTAAGGATAGCGGCGGGGCTGCGGACGAGACCAAGGCCGAGCCGATGTAAAGGGAGGCGGGCCCTAGGACACACACACACACACACACCTTCGTTGTCGCTCTCGTGTTTTGGTCGCTATCTCTCCGGTCAAGTCACGTCACTCGCTTATTTCACTCTGGTTGTGAAGCGTGGGACCTACGAACTGCCCACACTTCCCCTCCATGTTGAATGCTCTATCGAGAACGGTGTGTTGTTGTTGTTACAAGTAGTTCGGAATGCTTTACTAATAGTTAGCGGCGTACGGGGAGACCGAGTCCGTCTCTTGTGGTTCTCTCTTTGGAGTCGACTGACGTTTTTTATGTTGCTGTAGCGTACTTGCGCCGCCCATTGCTCTAGGTAGTGGCGTGTACATGTGCTGGTGTCGTAGTGTTTTGTAGTTTGAGGAGAGGGCGGAGGGTACGGGCGCGGCAAAAAAGGTAACATAGCTGCCGCCGCCCCCGCCCGCCATGAGTAGTGGAGCGGAAGAAAGCCGAGGCATCATGAAACTTTGACGGAATACTGATGCCCTCGTGCGATGGTAGTTGCCGAAGTACCGTTAGGGCGCACGGATGGCGGGCGAAGTACCGCACTTGCTTGCCCTTTGCATCCAGATAAGGGGCGGTACTGCCATGGTGTTGTATGGGTTAGGTTAGGGTCTGCCGTTCTCTCGTCCACTAGACACTGGGCACAGGAGATCAGGAAGAGGATCCGAGATCTCAGGAAAGGTGGTCTCGCAGGTGTTGCTTTGTGGATGGGAAGAAAGATACGCACGCTGCAAGCAGTAGCTAAACGAGCGCTCCTGTGCATGTTACATCTATTCATACTCGGCTTTCTGTCATGCTATGTGCAAACCACTGCTGTGGTGCGGTCGACACGTGCGAAGTCGTTGCCCACTCCTTGATTTTTACTGGTTGGCAGTTGGTCTAGTACTGATTGCCCCATCTATGCCCCTCTGGGAATTTTGGAGCAAAATTGTTAAGGGATGGACGGTTCTCGTTGTTTTGTCCTTGTCTTGCTGGATTTTTTATGACAACTTTTTAGTTCTTTTTTCGTTCATGTCTTTAATTGGACCGTATGTTGGCTTAGCTTGGCACGTGGCGGCGTAAATTCGATTCTGTGCTTCTGATTGGCAGGGAACATGAGATGCAGGATAAGACCAACAGGGCGGTTTTGAACGTCGGGGTAAATATGCACCTGTTGGGACAGGATCATGTGAGGGGTGGTTTGGTTGTCTGTGTTGCGTGCCTGGAGCCGGGGCGGGAAGGTCTCTTGGGCTCCGTTCGCTTTGGCGACGCCGCAATGCGCGAAAAACAAGCCGTTTCACGCACGTTCGTTTCGACGTGATTGCAAATCGCTATCTCACCTGCAACGGGAAGGAATGTAGGATGTATGAACAGTAGTTCTCAATTTTGCGGCGGAATTGTTCTTTGGCTTGGCTTGGTTCTCAAGTCGAGGGAGTATTTACTAGTTACCGCAGTTGTTTGGTTCGTTTCGACTGTGAAGCCTGCTGAATGGTTTTGGTTGTGAGTCAAGAGGGATTCTCGACGAGGGGGGTATGCTGTCGAATCGTGTTGGTTGGTGTGTTATACAAAAATATTTACCGAAAAGAAAACTGGCATACAGTAGTAGGGTATTTTTTGTTTTGGGAAGTTGACACATCGATTGGCATTCGTATCTGTGTTTTCCTCTGCTGCGATGTTTTGCCCTTGGGGATCTTGATTTTGTTTGCTCGAACCTACTCTCTCTCTCTCTCTCTCTCTCTCTCTCTCTCTCTCTCTCTCTCTCGAGTGTTTCCCGGCACTTGCATCCCAAACGTGAACGCACCGCTCGCGTTTGTATGCCCCCTTGGTCGAGGATTAGTCTGGTGTTGCGAGGTTCCGAATCCCGTACTGCTCGATCGCGCTTTGTTTGGGATATCCTGGCTAGATAAAGTGCACTGGGGCGATAGGTTCGGAGTCGTTCAGTCATGGGGGGTGTCGGAAGATTCTTGTGAGATTTTCTCTACTTGGTTGATGTTTCGCTCTGCTTTCGTCTCCTTCTCTGTCTCTCTCTTTTCTCTTTATCCTCGTTTGTGTTTGTATTGGTTCGTGTTGGATGTTCGATTTGCGTGGGTGTTGGTGTCATCACGGTTGGTTACCGTGTCTGTTGACTTGTATCGCGCTGCGTTTGTTTCAAAAGGTGCACATCCGATATCGGTTACCTGTCGGTCACCTAGATATTGGATATTCTGTAGTCTATTTCTTGTTTGGGGCGCATATTATATTTTGGTCCTGTTGTAGGAGAGGTTTGGGTGATGGGACTGCTGGTGTTGCTGTCGAAAGTTCAAGTTTCTACATTGTGAAACTATTGGCCTCGTCACTTGCCGGTTAGCGCTGGGTTTGGAAAGGAATCGTAGGACACCGCCGGTTCCCTAAGCGGCCGGGGCCGTCCCTCTTGTACCGCCTTTGACAGTTGATTGGTTTCTGTAGTGACTGACTTTTAACGTCCTCTCTCTCTCTGCGATAATGTTTACTACAGCAGTGCACAAGAGCCGCATACCCTTTGCAATTGTAGCAAGATGCAGCTCACATCCATGCGACTCGCGGAAGACCTCACGGCGCTTCGTGCTCGGTGTTGTGCTAGCCTAGTTCGGCGGAAACCCGGCGTGCTTCGTCCCGCCTTTGTTTGGAGGAATGCGTTGTCAATGATCCAACTACCACGGCATGCACGGTCATGAGTATGACACCCCCCTCTACTCTGTCAGCACATGCATGGCAATGTATTGTGTGAGAGCAAAGTGTACGTCCCGGGCGAGCATGAGTTGAAGTATGTGTGTGTGCGCATCGTTGTTTTGGTGTGTCCATGTGTGGAAAAAGATCAATGCCCTCCTGCCACCGGCGCTGGAAAAGAGACATTCAACACGCACGCGCATGGAGCACGGGGGATTTGGGCAGTGAGTGAGACCTGTTTCGTACAGCAGGTACTGCTGTGTACTTGTCTCGACATCATGCACCGCCTCACAGAAAGACTGCCCTTTCCTCCTTTCCTGCGTTCGCCGAGCAAGGGACGGGGCAGCGGACAACTCTGCGCAGGAATCTTGGACTATCCTAGACGTCTATGCTGCTGTACACGTCTAGAGACTCTCTTAGACTGTGGCGTTTGCTGTCTACAAGCTTGTCGACGTCTATTCACTGCCTAGCCTGCAGCACAAGATTCCCGTGCACTAATGTCGATACATAGTCTAGTCTGCAGACAAGAGAGACCGCCGCCCACCGCAGCTCGTAGCTTCAGAAACGTAGCATAACTTGTCTAAACGATTTAGACAGAGCTGGATGCGCCCGAGAAAACTCCTACAAGTAGTCTCGGCAATGTTTTCGGGGTGTTCAGCGGCACTTCTAGGCGCTTGGTGGGTACGGATGTGGCTTGGGTGGGAGGTTGTGGACTCGTGGACACTCAAAACAATTAAATTCCAACGGAATAGAGCCAGCACTTGCCCCTTCTGTTCTTGTTGTGCGTTGTGTGCCAAGTAGTCTACAAGAGTATGAGTACAGCAGTGTCCGCAAACACACCGCCGACCGTCACAAGCCGCCCTCACACATTTCGATAACTCGTGCATAGAGCTGGCCGCTGCCACGGGCTAGCGCAATGCATCTACGATCCTGCTGCCACCAGGAAGGACGGAAAACGGAAATGAACGGGAGCCAAAAGAATAACCAACGCTCCGACAACGCTCACGGGACTGTGAGATTAAAAAAAAAACGAACCGAACACCGCCCCACTTCGCCACCCACGTGGGCAGGACGACGACACACGAGAGTGCTAGACGTGTTGAAGAACGGGCAGAAGCGCACAATAGCGCAGGAGACTATGGTTGAGGGAGGGGGGGTACAGGCAGAAAGCCATGATAGAGGTGAGTGAGCCGACGTGTTGCGAGCGATGCGGCCTCTCGCGATCGCATCTTTGGCCCGGTCACTTACTCAATCAGAGGAGTCGGGATGCCAACGTGCTGCTATGTACCTCCTGTAGAGCGGAAGACTTGGGCCGATGCTCCAGCAACAAACTGTTTTCTGGTTGAGGTCCGTTTTCGTTTATTCATTACTGATGCTTTTCAGCATCCGTTCCAATGTCCAAACCTCGTTTGGTCTCTAACCGCATCGCGTGCAGTCGCAGGGCCGTTCTCACATATGAAATTGTTGACGTTGACACTTTAACCCTGTTGCCCCTGTAGACCGTTCGCCACCCATTTTATGGGTACCACTGTACAGGGCCAGTATGTCTTCACCTCCATTATATGATATAGATGCCCACGGCTGCTTCCCCAATTGTTTTTTTCTGCATGTACCGTTGTGTGCTTGCTGGGTACGATGACGTCACAAGAAGAAAGGCAGCCGACCCCGCTTTAAGGACGCACATAGTTTTTCCAGAAAAAAATAGCGTCCTTAAAGCGGGGTTGCGTCCTTCCAATCCAGGCAACGATAGATCACCATCCCCGGGGCCAATGGAGGCATGCTATACCTCAAACTAAGCATCTTTTGCTAAGGAAGGGGGTGGTTTGAAAAGTCAGCATCGCCGAGACGACTGGCAACCCTTTGTTGACGTCGAACATATTTGCATTTCTTCAAATGAGATTAACAGGAGTCGGGGACCTGTTGAAGACAACTACAGCACACCAGTTTGTACTTGGCCAACTAATGTACCGCATAGCCGGCGGCGGAAGGAGGAGGAAAGTCCAAGTAGACATATATTTATCTCATTCTTGTGAACCAAAAAAAAACGAGCGTATTCCAGCGTCGCACCGAGGAACACCAGTACATATCACAGTCCCGGCGGAGCCAAAAGCTACCTGGATGGCTTTTCCTTCCACATATATATCGTGAAGAGTTCCCTTAACCTCCCCGCGCGGCTCGGCTCTACGGCTCTGTTGAGTTTCATGAGCAAACGAATGAACGGTCTTCGAAAGAAGGTACTGCGTCTCACGGTACTCGCCACCCCTTCCCTTCGCGTACAAATACAGATAGCGCCCGCAGTGTTAAGAAAAAATCTGTTGAGAAAAAAGGTTCAAGTTTGTACGAAAAATAAGAAAAAAGGGCCGAGAAACATAGCTCAATCTCGGCCACAACGTAAAAAACGCCCCAATAAGAAACGTGATGGTGCGATACCCCCATGACATCGGAAATCTGCGGTGCTCCCACCCCCCTCCGAAGCTGAACAGAAGTGCGTTTTTTTTGCAAGGGGCAGAGTCCCCCCCGCCCCCCCCGCGCCCCTGCTGTTCACAATGAGTGCTGTACTGTAGCACTGCCACACATCGCGGACAACCATATACTCTCCGCTGTTGTACGGGTTTGATGACACTCTCCACCACCTCTCTTGAGGGCTTGATGATGTGGATTGTCCTCAGAGATCACAAAACAGAAAAAAGAAAATACGAAGAACTTGATGTAGTCTAAGGAATAAGGGAATCGGGAGGATGCGACAGTCCAAAGGAAGAAGAAATGCCATCTACGAAAATGGACGACTTGGGCCGGTACTTAAACCCAAAAGAAGGGATTGAGGCTCGATCCGATTTTGACGGTTCTTAAATGTAGGATCGAGCGTCCTCCAAGCGAAAGATAACCTCGCCCTCGGTGAGGGACGAGGTTAACACGACTTTTTTTTGGCGGCATCAGATGGACCGCCCGTAGATGGGAGGAATCTATCCATACCAACACCCTGTTGCAGCTGCAGCACCAGACCGCTCGCTACTTCTGCTGTCTGTGCGTCGCTACTTCTGCACTCACTGTGGTGCGTGGTTCGTGCAAAGAGCGGCCCGCAGGCCCGCAGGACACAACAAAGGGGGATACGCGGCAGAAAAAAGGGGGTTACCCCACTATCGTATACTCGGCCGGGCCCCCTGTTGCTGAGCAAAGAAGTTTCCTTAAAGCGGGGAGATTCTTTAACGCGAGCGTCCTTAAAGCCGGGTCGACTGGCGTCTCACGAAGAAAGGCATTAGGTCTACTACTATTATGTTCGTAGCGAGGAGTAGTAAGCAGAACACTCCCAAATCCCCTGTCGTGCCGTTTGTGCCGTGAAACGAGATGGCGCGTGACGGCGAGGGTGGATAAGAAGAAGGTGGTACACAATTTTGTGTTGTTGGTTGGTGTTGTCGTCTTGTAGTACCGTCTCGTTCTCTCTGCCCAGCACCTTCTTCTGTCCGCTGAACTATAATTGGGCTGACGCTCGAAGAACGAGGGCGATTCTTCCGTGATCACAGTATAAATGACCGAAAAAAATATATGTACGAAAATGAAGGGTCCGCAAGCCAATAGAAAAAGAAACCAAGGACAGATTCGAGATTGAAGGCCCCTCCGCTCGACTGTAGACGCTGCGGACATGCCGAAAGAAGGTGAGAATAATGCCGCAAGTAATAACACGAGCCAACCGAGATAGGAGGGGGGGAAACCGTCTTATGACTTGCGATATTCCCGTGGTGACGGCTAAGTTGCTACCGACAAACGTACCGCATGCCAATAGCAGAAGTGCAGGTGAAGTTGTTGACGTTGACACTTTGACCCTGTTGCCCCTGTGGACCGTTCGCCACGCATTTTATGGGTACCGCTGTACAGCGCCAGTATGTCTTCTACTCCATTATGATACAAGCACTGCATATATGCATCATAGCTTTCCTAGTTTTTCTGAGACGGTGCAATAATAACCTGCCCTGGCCGACCAACGTAAACCAACCTACAAAGGTTGCGCCCTCCGCGTTGTGGGCGTGCCTACATATGTTGGGGGCTATTAGGAAACAAAATAATAACCAAGAATACGCGTTTCTATGCATAGCATACATCGAGTCCATCGCATACCGTATGGTCTCGGCGTCTCCGTCGACTGATTTGTTCAGCCGCTACATAGAAGTAATGCATCCGATAGTAATCTACATCCATCAGGATCACTCCTCTAGTAAGCATCAGCTGGTGGTGCCAGGGTCCAAGGTGAAAGTTCGTCCTCAGTCTTGCTCGAAGTAACATTTTACTAGTATTTGGACTGCTGTCTGTCTAAATATGATGTGTGGGGCGTGTACTCATAGCCGTGCATACCGTAAAGTCTTGGATCATTGACCTCGCATCCCTACAATATCCGGATGTAGCACGCCGGTTTTTCAACGGACCAGGCTGTTTAGCACATCACCAATGCCGGTCGCCCCGGTGGTCTAGTTGGTATCCTCGAAACCTTCTATGCATAGAGGTCAGGTTAGGGCTTCGAACCCCGGCGTAAGGGAGCTTTTCTTGCAAAGTGAGTTTTGCTCTCGGTTCCGCTCCTGGCCTAGCGGATAGCGCTAGTTCGTGTGTACACAGGGAAGAGAGTGCTGAAGTCTTCTCGCATTAAAAATCGAAGACAAAGCACCGCAGGAGGGGAGGGTAGAGAGGGGTTCTTCTGTGTGACAACGGGTTGGAGCAAACAGCACTAGTGCTGTGAGAGCTGACTTGAAGTGAAGACAAAAACAAAAAAGCGCGAAGCGCCGCGAAGATATCGGCGAGTGGCATGGAGGGTTCCATGGAGGGTTCCATGGAGGGTTCCATGGAGGGTTCCCTGCATCCGTTGTTGGGGAGGACGTGCTTACTTTTTTTTTTTGTTCAAAATTTAGTTTTAGGTGGGCAGAGTACTGGTGTACTCCGTGAATGGTTCGCGACAAAGTCCGGGCGGAGCACACCTGTTTTTCACCGGAACAGGCTACTTGGCATGTTGCCAAGATCGAAGCGCCGTGAAGATATCGGCGAGTCGCATGGAGGGATCGCTACATCCTTAATTGGGGAGGGGGGTGTACTCAAAGTCGTGCATGCCGTAGTCGTTAGACCATTGACCTCGCATCCCTACAAAGCGGGGACGGAGCACGCCGGGTTCTCCCCGGACCAGGCTCTCACATCACCAAGCGCGAAGCGCCGTNACAGCTGCGTATGACTCAATTTATTTTCTGGTGCTTCACTTCCAGAGACGGTTTTAAGCACTGTGTAACTGCCTCGAGGGTGCTTGACCATTTTAACACAACGTGGTGCGATCATCCCCCTTGCGCGGAGTGAGGGTTCTCGACCCCGCACAACATGATCCACTCGACCACCATAATGGTTACCGCCAAAAGAAACCCAGAGGTAAAAGAAAAAACGATAACCTGGTTGCCGAGTTCACGAAGTGAATTGGCCTGTTTTACAACGTCGTTGCCAAGCGACGAAAACCCAATCCCGATGGCAAACACCGGGGGGAGCGAGGGTGCTTTATTTATTAGTTTTATTCAAATTTTAGTTTTTGGTGGGCAGGGTACTGGTCTACTCCGTGTATGGTTCGCGATGACACAGCAAAATTATATCGGATGTATGAATTTGGTGCATGCAGATAGAGACGTTCCGGCGACAAGAGCGGCACGCGATCGTCAGCAAAAAACAAAAAAATAATTTCGAAATATCCCCAAGAGTCTCAGCGATCCCAACCATCGAAATGCAGATATTGTTTTTAGTTGCCCGTATGCGGCATGTGCTGAGCCGATAAACAGCTGTGTAAGGGACGTACCGTAATTGTGCGTGTTATGGCCCTCATCGTTGATTTCGCACCCATCGGTGTTATGGCACCGGGGTGCGCAAGAATATCGAGAACGGCATGATTCAATTGCATTTCCGCACCGGTATCGGTGGCGTCTTGGCGAGAACGTTCCAAATCACACGTCAAAATTGCATGTCCCAACTCGTAGTACCCTGTGGCGCATCTCGATATTTGTGCCACGATCGCTGTACAAAGTTACATGTATTGCAGGGACTCAGCCATAACTCTTGAACCACAATGAGCTACGCTATGGTACGGCCATCATTCTTCGACTGGCATCGGTGGCTACGCGCACACCAAGTTTGAGCGAAATCAGCCGATTCAATTTTGTCTTAAAAACAAGCCCAAACCCTGCCACTCCGGAACCCAATTAAAAAAAAGTGCTCCCAATTGAGACGTGGCTTTTGCAGCACCATGTTCACGGATTTTCAAGTGGAAGATATGGGAGTGAGCGCCATGTCCTGGCCATCAGTGGGATATGATCAGCTTGCCGTCATTCGTTGCCATTCAAGAGATGTGATAATCTGACTAAATATGGGGTATATGGCCGGACCAGCTTGTAGGGTCAGTCTGAGTCCTTGCACGGAAAGTTCATCTTCGACGCATGTAGCGGTACAGTGTGGAGAACCTTGCACGACTCTGCTGGGTCAACCACACACCCGAGGGAACTAGGAGGGGGCGCCCCCACAGTTTCGCGTGCTAGTAACTAGCAGCCCTCTGCCTCTACCACATATCACAGGAACACATCGATTTCTATGAGCACACAACTTGCTGCGACTCTCCGTGCTTCGGTCCGTGTCTTCCTCCAAGCAAGAAAAAAACATGTATGATACTGGGTCGGTTTGTCCCTTTTCTGTGTTTCGCTTGTTCATCCCAGTTCCAAACCCAATCTCGGCAAGCAATCTCAAACTGATGCGCAACGGACAACGCATACGCTTAACATTGTACACAGTGCGAAGTAGGTGTCGAAGGCCCCTCGTCACTGTTGTGGAAAAGTCGACCGGGTTTCTGGCCGCGCTGTTTACAAGCTTATCCACGAAGTTTCGTCTGGCTGGATCAAAACAAGGTCGCATAGCGGGCGCCGAAGGAGGGTGTTCGGGACCACGACGAATTTTGAAAAGAGGTCGAAGAACTGAACACCCTCGGAGGCGACAGGAGCGGGGGGGCGGGGGGGGAGTAGCGTCCGCGGACGGAGCGCGTGTACATGGCGGCATGATGACGGGTTGTTCCTGTTGGTCCGTCCCGATTTTTTAGTTTGAGTCGACTGCTCAACGTGTGGCTGTTGTTTGGTATTGTTTCTTTTGTTGATCATCATGAAATTTTGTTTTATTACTAGTTTAGTATCATATGCTTTAACACCAAGACAACGAGTATCGTCACATCATAGTTGCGTGTATCATCGCGCGTCACCCCCGTTCTCTCTTGCAATCTGTCCACCCCTTCGCACACACACAAGTCGTGTGCTCAACGACTCCGCTTTTGTTTGTCCCGCCAGTAGCAGTGGAAGCAGAACGCGCACGCTGCGGGATAGGTGTGGAGTATTAGCCGAGAAAAGCATCTCTCGACTGCAGGTCAACCTCATCCAACGTGTACGTCAAAACGCCAAAAGAACGATTCTCGCCCAACTACATTTACAGCAAGCGGTGGTAGAGATGATCCCTGGTTTATTATGACGTGTTCCTGTGAAGGCAGAATATTACAACACCCGAAATGACGGAGGGTTTCTCCGCGATGTTTTTGTCGTTGACCCAGTAGATAAGAGGAACTACGGGGGAGATGTCTTGTGGTATTTGTACCTATGCGTGTGTGATTAACACCTGCTGGCATCACCGATAAAATTTCAGTGTACAGGCATAAATAGACTCGAAACTAGCCCAGCACCCAGCTGGATTTCCTCCACTCACTGCCGCAAAGACTCCAACACATCCCGTTCGACTCTAGGTATATCTCGAGTGGGTAGTCTTTCCGTGTTTGCCTTTATTTTTCCTGAAAATTATGATGTTAGGTAATTTGCAAGATGCGGCTTGCATGGGCACCAGCTGAGCGCTCAATTGCAGTTTGGCAGACGTAACACCCGCTGTTTCTTGTTCTTGCCTTGCGGACTGTCGTGCACGTCCCTTTGTGTTTTCTATCAGATAATGGGAAGGAGTCGGTTATGCCACCTCTGCCCGCCAAGAAAAGCCCCGGGACCAGCGGTGCTGCTGCATCGAACCTTGCCAAACAGCTACCGGCGGTGTCTCCGAGAGCCATTTCTTCTCTCAAGCCGGACACGGCTGATGGCGCAACCTTCGAGAGCTACCTCTCCTATAAACCTGCTAATGGCGAGGATACCCTTGCAGTTTATGAAGCTGTGAACGATCCATCGAAATGGCTGTTGAAGAACAAGGAAACTGGCCAGGAGGTCGAGGCCACAGCGTTCGCAGACACACTTTTGGCTCGTCGTCCAGCCCCCCAATGTGCCACGGTCTCACCACGCTTGGGATCACACTCACACGGAAGCAGGGGCTGGCCAAGACTGCAGCGACACAAAGCCCCCGCATTTCAGCGGCCATCGTTGCTTCCTCCAAGCAACGGCGACATCGCTTACTTCCCGCCGGCCTCTGCGGGTCCGCTCACCCCGCCTTTTCTCCAATTGGGGTTTTCGAGCTTGTCAGGTAGGTCGTCGCCCTTGCGGTTTGGGGCGAGTTTGTCGGTGTCGGGACAGTCCTTCTCGCGTCCGCGCAGTGGAAGCAACTCCCATGGCAGAAGCAACAGCGACAGCACGACAAGCAGTGTCATCCTCAGCGTCGACGCACTCCCCAGTTTCAAGCTCGGCAACATGAGCACGACCCAGCTGTTGCCGAAGCTCCACCCCGGAGGTGTGAGGGCGATGTCGTTCAGCCCTTCCGGTGCATTCCTCGCGACATGCGGAATGGACCGACGCTGCTGCGTTTTTCGGGTACAAAAGCATCGCCAAACAACGGCTCTCGGAGAAGGTTCTCCTAACGCCGCAGCAGCAGCCGTTGGCCTTCCGGTGGACCGAGGAATGTCGAGGCAGCCGAACTCCGTTTCCGTGGAGGGGCGCCTGGTAGACGACCAACCTCTGCGAGTTCTCACGGGGCATGTTGATTCTGTCGTGGCCTTGGCTTGGGTGGGCGGGGACAACGCGCTCTTGACAGGGTCTTCCGACGGGACTGTGCGCTGTTGGCACCCGTTGGAGGGGAACGAGTGCTCGGAAGTTTACGAGCACGGGGGAGGGGTGACTTCCGTGGCCTGGGAGCCCGGAGGTGAAGTGCGCGGGGGCAGATTTTTGACGGGGTGCATGGACGCGAGAATCCGACTGTTTTCCTTGGATTCTCCGGAAGTGGAACAGTCGGTTCTGTCGGAGAGGGCTGTGACTGCCGTCGCTTTTTGTCCGGGAGGACAACGCTTTGCCGCGGGCGGCATAGCCGGCAATGTTGAGTTCTACCGCATGGACGACATGTCGCTGGAGCTGACGGTCGAGTGCCGCCGGCATGGCTTTCGGCATTCGGCTGCACAGCGAACACGCCTCGCGACGAGCCCCGTTAGACGGCTGTCCGTGGGCACCGGCGACAGGCGGTCAAATGGTGCCGGCGGCGACCGCATTCAGACCAACGATAACGGCAATACCAACGGCCGCAGCGGTAGAGGGCGCGACAGAAGACGACGAAAAACGCTGGGCTCGAGCGCCGGAGCTCGAGCTCCAGGCACTGTGGAGGTCACGGGACTGTGCTTCCGCCCACAAACGAAAGGGCCGGCTGAGCCGACGGGGGACTGCAGTGATTCAGATGGGGAAGACCACCGACTGAACGGTAAGATGGGTGAATACTCGCAGGAAGTAGCCCCGAGTCCCCGCGTTGGAGGTGAGGTCGTGGCACCGCACGCGGACGAGAAGGATGCGAACGGCAGTGGCAATCTGTGGGTTGAGCGTCTCGAGGCTGACCTCCTTGTGAGCACAAATGACAACCGTTTGCGCATACTGGTGTCAGAGGAGCGGGGTGTGACTGTCGGGTTCAAGCTCAAAGGGCACAGCACCGAGGGGGAACTCGGGCGGCACACTGCGGCGCGATACAGCGACGACGGAAACTTTATCGTAAGCGGTGCCACAGATGGAAGTGTTCACGTCTGGTCCACACCGACCACCCCGCCAGGCACCAAATCGGTGACTTGGGCGAGTGGGCGGGAGGGGCACGAGCGGGCGCGGGTGTGCGATAAGAGGGTAGGTGTCCCGGTGGCCTTCTTTGCCCCCGCTAGCGTGGCGAAGAACCTCGGAGGGACATCGAGCCGTGTGATCGTGACCGGAGATAACGAGGGCAATTGCAAAATATTCAGCGAACGGCGTGCAGATAGAGAACCGTGAGGGTCGGGTTGGGTTTGGGCGTGCCTGTACATCTCTCACTTTCTGCTTTTGCTCCGGGTGTGTATTCGTGGTATTCGACGTCTATGCGTTTTGAAATGTTTACAATGGTTCTTCGGAGGTGCTGTGTGCGTGTAAGCGACTTCATAGGACATAGAACGGCCGGATGCCGATGCACATGAATACGCTGCACACACCGGGCGTATTGTGTGGGTCGGTTTGGGTATTCGTTTCGCGCATGGGTATTCGTTTCGCGCATGAAAAACTTTGTTATTGTTGTTGTCGTGATTTTGGTTGCCTTTCGCAGTTGAATACCCGCTGCCTGAAGTGTATGTGCTGTTCTGTTTTGCGAACGTGCTATGCGCACGTGCACGTTTTGTGCTCGAGTCGGTGGGAGTTTCCCGTAATTCTCTGCGCTAGAAGAGCTGGACCTGTGGCAACAAACCACAAAATAGTACATGATCCAACTCAGTGCATTCAGGCGTGGTGGTGGTTGTGGCCATTTGCTTTTCTTTAGACTAAAAGTTGGTTTAGAAGGTGTTCTTGGTCATCATGCTGGGAGGTATCGAATGAGCAGGCTCTACCGCACGGAAACTAGAGATGGGCCCCGTTTGCAAAATAACGGACAATACTCCATTATTTGGATATACCAGCAGGCGTTTATAAGTGACGGCTATCAAGAAAAGGAGGCGTTTTTGAACCGGTTATCCCCGGTTAATTCGGTCAACTGGCGCTAGAAAACCCGCTTTTTCGGCGGTTTTCACTTGAGAATAGCGACTCCTATTAGCCGTTTTTTGCTCCTTGGTTGTTCCATTCTGCCATTCTGGTGCCCATCTCTTCTTTGACCCTACGACAATACATCGTGTGCGTGAAATACTGCGCTATACACCGGCAGTATTGAAAGATGGTGTGTATGCCATGAGGCCACAAAACAGACCCAGTTTTGAGAAATTGCGGAGGCGTTTTCTCATATTTTCGGGTTATCCGATTTAACCGGTTATTTGGGGCTGAAAAAAACGGTTATACCGGTTATTGGATTTTGAGAATAACGCCTCCTGGTCGGTTGTCGGATACTGCTTTTTCACGTCCGGTACCCATCTTGAACGGCAACCCGTCTTGATGCCGTGTAACCGGTTAATTGGGGCTGAAAAAAACGGTTATACCGGTAATTGGATTTTGAGAATAACGCCTCCTGGTCGGTTGTCGGATACTGCTTTTTCACGTCCGGTACCCATCTTGAACGGCAACCCGTCTTGATGCCGTGTAACCGGTTAATTGGGGCTGAAAAAAACGGTTATACCGGTAATTGGATTTTGAGAATAACGCCTCCTGGTCGGTTGTCGGATACTGCTTTTCACGTCCGGTACCCATCTTGAACGGCAACCCGTCTTGATGCCGTGCCTCCCCCCTTCACCCTCTCATGGAACAGATTGGACAGTCCGTGCCATCGTGTGCAGTTGTCGGTGTTCCCGCGTGCGAAGCAACAGGTTATTGCAACAGTTGTTGACAGTTGTTGAATACTACTCATGACTCTAATATACACCCGGGTCTAGGCTACTTCAAGAACTCCATTTGGAGCGAACGTGTTAGTCTCCCCCTGAATGTTCAGCATCCGCCCCACTGCTGTCCTGGGCGTCTCTCCCGGACGTGGCTGACTGTACGTAAACCGCTCCGCTTGAGTCGGATGAGGCAAACATACAGCCGCTACTGCTGATGGCAACAGAGTAAATCTCGAAGCCTTGGTGGTGGCTCGCCTTTTTGAAGACACGGTTGGGGAACTGAGAACCCACTCTCCAAGATCGAAGCTCCCCTTCCATGGTTCCGGCGAAGACATCCCCACTCCCGGTCCCGCCCCTGCCTCTACCCCACCCCCCGACGCCACCATTCGGAGAGCTTTCCACAAGCACTGGGCGGGCACGAGACAGCCTTGGGTGGCCAAAGCGGAATACGACCTCGTGCGATTGGGTGTCGAAGAGAGTTACAGTGCGATTTCGTGATCCCACTAGAATCCCTTTCCCATCGGACGAAACCTGGACTGAACACGCGCTCGCAGCTGCACTATGGCTGCACGCAACGCAGGCCTCTCCCGCGCATACCCGTGCCCCCGCAGTGCGAACTCGCCGCCTGCTCGCCTGCCATGTCTTCAAGCCGCCAGGGATCCATGCCTTCCCGTTCCCTTCGTGCAGGCAACCGGATGCTGGAAGAGAGGACACGGAAAGACGTGCATGAGGCTCGTCCCGCGCAGGCAACAGCACCTTGCGGGTGGGCCGTGCGGGGCCCTGCTGCCCTCTGTCCGTCGACGAAGGAGAGGGATTCACACCAGCGTTCGAGGCACCTTCAATGCCTCCTCTGCTCTCGCTCCAGGGGCTGATGCTGCAACTGCTGCTTGCACCGCTGATCCTACTGGTGGTGCTGCCGCCGCTTGAGCGAAGGGGAAAGTCGTTCTCCTTCCCGGAAGGTGTCTCATAGCTGCACCGCTCGCGACTCTCTCTAGTGGATGAGGCCACGGACCCCGCGTCATTACTATCGCCTGTCCATGCAGGCCTCCTCTAAAAAGCCCGTCACGTCATCGTAGAGCAGTGCAGTGCGGACGGCGACAGCGGGGACGAGGATGAGACAGAGTGGAACGAAGTGCACGGCACACTTTTGCATGTTTGGTTAAAGAGCTTTCTAAGGGCGATGCAAAAAACACCGCTGGACCCCCCCCCAAAAAAAAATGAATAGAGAAGCGCGGCCGCAAAAGTATGTGGGCGTTTCATCGCTATAGTTGCAAGTTGCGCCGCCATATCTTACGTAAATCCATGCCTCGGCAAGAAATGCTTACCAAGAGGGGCGTCGCTGGCGAGGGAACTGAAGAACCCAAAACCGTTGATAGCCACGGAGGGACGTGGGCAGGTGTGCGTGCTGTACTGCTTCGAGTCGTTGAGGTAGCCCAGAATTGCGGGGACTGAGGGGGTGGGGGCTGCATGGAAGCAACTTGCGGTGTCGTCGCAGGTGGATCTTCACCGAAAGCCGTTGCGACAGCTGCGGGGATGGCGTCTTTGAAACACCTCAAGGACCTACACAGCCGCAACAAAAGCAAACGAAACACGAACAAATGAATGAAAAGAGAGAGGCCTCAGCGCCGTGCAGAAAACGAAAGAAGGGAAGGACGGTGTCGGGGGCAATTTCGGTGAGACTTCCACGAACATACACAACGAGATGCATACACTGGCTGGGCGTGTGTTTCTTGTTCTGTTTACCTTAGGTCCCATATCTGAACAAGGTCGTCGTTTCCATGTCCCCTTGTGCAATTCGTGCCGAGCTCGGGAGCACAAAGAAGCGCGTAGGGATCTCCGGCAGAGAAGCAGGCGCTATTTACCGGGCGGCCGACCGAGACGCTAGCCACCGGGGTGTTCGTAGCCACGGGATCCCACAGTAGCATTCGTCCATCAGTGCTTTCGTAAGGGTGTGGGCAGCGGGACGCGCAGAAGACGCTGAGACGATTACCATCGCTAGTGTGTGCTTGCACGCTTTGTGGAGAGTCAGCAACGATAACGATTGGACTCGCACGTTGCTACAGTGAGAGGTGCCGACCGAGCGGTGTCCATGGCCTAAATAGCGAAGCCGTGACACTTTATCAAGCATTGCCAAAAACATTTTTCATAATATAGAGGTTTCAGCATGGTGCTTACGAACGCAAGAGCGTAGACTCATGAACAACAGCAGTGTGTGCGTCCTAGGTGGGGAAATCGTCGGCCGATTACCAAACGAAGCATCTATCAAAGACACACAGCAAACACACACATATGCTGTACTGTACAATCAACCCTTGGCCTTTTGCTTGCTTCCAGCCCAGGCCTCATGCAAATCACGCCACTCAAAGAAAGACCAAATCTTCCGAGGTGTCACACCTGCTTGAGAGTATTGCATGTCCACTTGCAGAGGTATCGCAATCCGTGACGAAGCTCAAGTGCCCCGTCAATGCGAAGGTAGCCCTTCGGAGATCCTCCTTCGAACACGTCTCGAAGGTAGCCACAGCGCTCAGGGCGCCATCGTCTCCAGCGCACACGTAGCCTCGCTGGTCGGGAAGTATCTTGATTCTGCGAAGGTACGCAAGGAACAGCTTCCGATATCACGTTGTTTGGTATCAAACTTTCTGTTTATCTTTTCAGGGTGTCAAGTCATGGAAAACAACCAAACCAAGTAACATGGTTGCATACAAGCATACCATGAGTGCTTTGCGCACGTGCTGCAAGACTGGTCCCTCCAGTGTGTACGTTGTTGGCGGGGTCGTTTCACGGATAGCATCCCGTCCAAATCAAAAGCTATTAATGCAAGCAACACGGCGCTACCAATATGAGCCGAGACGTTCATAGGATGTAGGAGGAGGCCGGTCGTGCAATTCAACTACAAGTTTCGCCGTAGTCGACATCTATCTCACGTGTTAACACAAGAGCTGTGCAGCCTAGCCCGCTCTGGAGTTCCCAACCATCCTGGCGGCGATGGCGACGAACCTTCACTACCGCCTTCCCTTCCTGTCTGCACCCGCTGCACAGATACGCCTCCGTCTTCGTCTCCTGAGATTAGAAGAGAAGGTCCTGGGAGGTGGTGTTTGTGAACAAGCAGAGTTAGTGTACCAGGGGGACTAAGCAACTTGGAGTCACTTCACTTCACTGTTAAGAGCATTCAGAATTGTACGGCCGAGCTGTGTGCCACAGCCTGGCGGGATGATGGGGCCGTGCATTGGTACAAAACGTTATCGCGAGGAAACCTCAGGATGCTGCCCGGTTAGTGCAGCTGTACCGCGGCCAAGACCACCACCACAGGAGCACACGAGGCATTCCGATAAGCGACAGCCCCGTTCTATGTTGTGTCTACTATGTGCATACAGCCGTACAAATAAAATTTAGTTTTGGTCAATAAATATACTACAATAAATATAGTCTACTCGATTCTTAGTCTACCGAAACGGCGACATGTAGGTTCATCCTCACCTCCGGCACTTGCTTCATCACAGAGACACAGGCTTGTGACGGCTGATATTCCGTTCCCGAACCTCACAGGAGCCGACGTCCAAGCTTTACGCCTCACGAACTCCAGCGGGTGGTGCCCGAGGGCGATTCTCGACACCTTCAAGGATAAAGTTCGACCGCAACAAGGTCAAGAAGGCGCTACATGTAACTGTTTGTGCCGCAACGTTGCTTCGTTTTGATTCATCAGAAAACTCGATTGGGCACGAAGCCTGAAGAGTCACTTGCCCGATAAGGATGACCTGTCAATTCCAACAGCTCCGGCTATAGGTGGATCTCTGAGGAGTGGTCTCTACGCGTTGACACCATTGGGCCTGTAGGGTAGCCTATCGATGTCGACCGCAGCAGCACTGAAAACTTTTATCCTTTGTTTTCTTCACAACGTATGTGGTAGATTCGTTTTCGTCAACAGTTTTCTTTCAACAATTTAAAGTCTGTTCATGATAATTCACAGAATCTAATCTAGTGTATCTAGATCTGCAGATCAAATTATCGCATGATGAGCGACAGCCGTACCGTATACGACACAAGATAACACACCGCCTGGACAGATTATCAATGCTCGATTTATTAACAGCAGAGGAAGTCGAAGCGTCGAAAACGGCGGCGTTGAAGCCGTCTGGTCGAGAGCTCTCCGAAAACGTATCGCTACGCTTCGTTTATGCATCCTCTTCATCTGGAGTAATCGAACTTTGAAAATCGGTCCAGGGGCTGTATTATTTTGTGTCGTATACGGAAGTGGGGATCCAACATGAAAATTGAAAATGGCGCCTACGCTGCACTGTGCCAAAGTACCGAGCTGGGCGATTTTGTGTACTCTTTCGATGTCCACCACGACCACCAGGCGCTTGGAAATAGGTTCGATGAGCTGCGAAACGAGGCTTGAGCAGCAATACTTTCCATCGAAATGTCACGGCATTTCTAAGCTTCACAGCAAAGACAGGGCGTGTGATGTATCTTCAAGTGTAGAATGTGACATACCAGAAGCATCCTGCTCATTACACAGCAAAGAGCGCGGTCTGTATCTCAGCTCTGGACCGGTGCCCTCCGGCAAGAAGTGAGCGAGCGGGGGTCCCGCAAAATTCTTCGATTCTTCTCTGTGCAATGTGCAACTGCTGTTGTGTGTAGCGGAAGGCAGAGACTTTCACAGCGACACCGTCACTACTGTATGCTGCGGCGTAGTGGCCTGTAGGGCCTGTAGGTAGTAGTGTACAGGTGCACACATACCGGTTGCAGTGACCATGGATATCTCGCCGAACAACGTCTCCTAGCAGGCCTGTTCCGGAGTCTTGTTGTCATGTCGACCTCTTTTCATGCCATCTACAGCCTCAAAGAGAGGGAGAGAGACAGCTAGTTAAAGAGGAAGGGACGACGGCAAGGAATCAGGGAGACGGCAGAAGGCGGCGGAAGGTGGAGAGTGGGAGAGGCAGAGAGAAGAAGAGGTGTTGCCTCTACCGATTTGCACGTGATTTTCAAAATTCAAACGATTGAAACGCCTCACGGGGTTGGCCTGGAAACCCTCGTTCTCTCATCTCCTCTCTCCGTCTTTCTCTCCTCTCTCACACTGCACACTGCCCTCGCAGCAAGTACTGCTGCCTCGTATGGCCCTGTTCGAAGCCTGCCAAGGGCCTGCCTTGGCTCCAGTAGATGTGAGTCATCCCCCTTTGAGTCCCATCGAGTGCTACTATGTGGAATTTAGCTTCCGGTAGCGGGAGACCGATAGACTAAACTATACCTTCTATTCGGCGGTCTTGTATTTTGACTAATACACGGAGTGTTGCATTCTAGGAGACACGTGCACCGCCAACACCTTTGGATACCCCTCTCTGGCTCTTGCTCTTCGGACGCCTGGTTGTGGCTGGGTAGAGCAGCAGAATTTGTGGGTTATCCAAGGACCTTTCGTAGCCCACTTACTTATTTTGTGTATTGATCAAGAAAGAGTTGGAGTTTGTGCGCAAGGCGCTCGGTTGAACAGCATAGTCTAGTCTAAGCCAGGTCAACGTTTTTTTTACCCTCCCCTCAACAATAAACTTCACAGCTGTCCTATGCATATGGTGGAAGATGGTATACTGCTGTAGGATTGCTGTAGACTAGTGTAAGCCCAGGACAAACTCGCGACGGATGCATAGTGTTTCTTTTGATCCTCGCGTAGCATACGGCACCAGGTGACATTAGATATGTGTGAAAAAACAAAGAAAAGAACAAAAAAGAAAGACCGTATACCCGTTCGAGGAATACCCACATTCGATCGGGATGCGGTGGAGTCTTTTCAGTGAGTGGAGGAAAACCTGCCGCATCAATCTAGTTTAATGCAAGTTATTGTTTGTAGGGGGTGTGGTATCTTACGGCACCTGTTGAAGTGCGCTTACATAGGATTCCCTTGACAGAGTAGTATATAACTACTGTACCTGGTATTTTTTAGTAAATCGAGGCGGACACCAAGGTGTATTGTTGAGCATTGGCGGTCGTGCCGATGTTGTGCGCGCAGTAAAAGACGGCACACCCAAAGAATGCACGAAAAGGAAGAACACCAAGAAAACCAGGCACGTCACGTCAGACTCTCTCTCATCACTTAAAGCAAGGGAGAACTATTCCATGATACATAGGGCATGACAAAAGAGAGCCCACCACCTAACGGTTGAAAGGTTGCGAAAGGTCGAAACAAGCCAAGAAGACAGCCCAATGCCAAAATCGATATAGGTACGATGTCTAAAAGGATGGACAAAACCATAGCAGCTGCTGAGTCTTTCTCATCAGGGACCACCACACTTCCAAACTTCCCTCTCCCCCGCGGTGTTGTTGCCGTTGTTCTGTATTAACTTTATGTACACTACAGACTAAATATGTGCATAGCTGAGTGGAGCCAACGGTGGAGTCTGACGCACTGCAGTCTTTTTTCCAGATACTTCATTTTTCATTTTCATGTTCAAAAACCGTTGGAAAAATAGACGCAATCTACACCTCCATGTAGAATTTCGCACCTAAACTTAGACTACCAGTGTCACACCTGCAAAGACTATCGGTGTCACACCTGCAATACATCACATAACACCGGGCGACTGGTAGACACACGGACCTATCTGTCGTCTGTGGTCTGCCAGTCTCTGCTGTCTGTGGGCCCTGCCCGCAGGTACCAACGCGCGCTTCTCGATTTTTGGCGTCAGCTCACAGGTTCTTTGCACATACAGCAGTAAAGATGCATATTAGGGTTCTGGTTCCTATCCTTGACGAGGGTGTTGGGCCCACTCCCCCGGAGTAGGCCTTGCTCGCACTTTTGGACTTCGGAATCACCACTCCATACACCTCGGGAGTACGGCCCTTCCTCACTCTTCTCTCGTCCGTCGTCTTTCTGTTCGGTTTGTTCTTGTTCCTGTTCGTTTGCCACCGACATGCCATCTGCCATGAAACGCCATCAAATGTCGTGGTCGAGCAGAACGTTTTTGCGCGGATCGTGCGGAAAGAAGAGCCAGCGGACATCGTCTACGAGGATGACACGGTAATGGCTTTCAAGGACGCGCACCCGGTTGCCCCATGCCATCTCTTGATCGTGCCAAAGAGAGGGGCAGTCCGCGACCCGAGCCACCTGAACGTTCAACACGTCGACCTGTTGGAGCACATGTGAGCTTGTACATTATTTTTACAGTACAGCATGGTTGTTTCGTGGTACCATGAATCGTACGATTCCGGTATGTCAAGAATTGAAGTCGTGTTTTCCTTCCACGCTACAGTAGCAGTATTGATGGATCAGTCAATAGAATAGTCTAGGCCATCTAGCCCCGACGAGAGATTGACCTCTGCTGCAAAGACATTCCGTTTTTGGATTCGCGTTGGAGACACTGTTTACAGTGACGCCAAAGTTATGTAAATCTATAATACAGAAATCGTTGACAGAGAAAGGATGCAGGTCGGTCGACACCGAGTTTGTCACGCGCTCTCTCTAGTCATGATTGAATGCGCGTGCATGTCGGAGAACTGTCTGGGTGATGGTGCGAGCATACAGCCAACAAGCAGCATTCAGTGCAACACAGCTGTCAAAGGTTATCCCCATGTCAATATGTGCTTTGCAACTCAATTTTCGCCCTCACGCCACCTACAATATTGTATGTACTGTAGTGAGTGAGAGTGAAGGGTGAAATCGAAATTTAAATCAAAATCGCGTGCTGTTCTTTCGCCAATCATCTTTCGTCTTTCATTTGCAACTGCTTTGCTGTACGCCAGCTCCTTTGTGGTCGCCATTTATCACGTTGTGCCCCAGACAATTCAACGTCTGAGCATGCGACTTGATGGTAGATTAGGGGAAGGAAGGCAGAGAGACAAGCAAAACAAGAGTTATATATATATTAGCTAGCTCCCGCGTAACCCACCCCGGCTGAGTCCAAAAAACACACCGAAAAATTGATGAATGCACTGATTTACCAGATGTAATGGACGGCACGCTCAACACTATTTTGCGGCTTTTTTGACCGCTTTCAATCGTAAGGAGACCGAAACAAGCTATTGTATGCATAGCTGACTCCGTCCCGTTCCGCTGTTGCGTGTTGCGTGTTGCGTGTTGCGTGATTTGTTCGGGCAGGGTGGCGGTCGGCAAGCAGCTCTTGAAAGAGAGAGCTGGACTCACGCCGAACCAGCAGGTGAGTAAAGTAATGTGTTGGAGGATATGGTGATGTGTTGATGTGTTGATGTGTTGATGTGTTGATGTGTTGATGTGTTGATGTGTTGATGTGTTGATATGGTGATTTGTTGATGTGTTGATGTGTTGATATGGTGATGTGTTGATGTGCTGATGTGTTCATGTGTTGATGAGTTGATGTGTTCATGTGTTGATGTGTTGATGTGCTGATGTGTTGAGGACGGACCACCGACACAGCGGCTGCGACTCTCGTGCTCTACCTGTCCTGCTGTGACTTGCGCCGCTCGGCGTTCGTCAGTAGATATTAGATACGCGATTTTGCAATACAATCGCTTGAGGAGTTAGCGTTTCTCACATGGCGCGGTACAGTACAATAAAGTACAGTACAGCAGAGACCAACCTCCTCTCTCCGTCATCCTGGGCGAAGAAAACAGAACGGTTTTAGATGTGAAGACAGCAAACAACAACAACATGCTCACATCTTGGCATGATTGAAACAGTTATCTTTTCTCCGGGAGGGAGAATCAGGTAGTGTGTCACAAGCAATATGAACAATACCGTGAAGAGAGTTAGAAGAGACGAGGGCCACGCGCCAACGCACCAATATCTCGGGCTGGTAGTGTTTCATTGTCTAAAGCAGTAATCTGCTGGGGTAAGCCCAAACACACAGATGAAGAGAAAGATGGATGCAGCGCGGTAGGAGGCGGCGCGCTGGGCGTCACCTCACCTGACCTACCATAGGGGAACATGACACAAGATATCACTCACCCTGAACCGGTTTCCAAAGATGGATTGCTCCACAGCAGAAGGAGCGGCGGTGCCGAGAGAAGGCGGCGTTGGAACCGCCTCGTCGAGCTTTCCGAAAAACCCTGTCGTTTGATTTAGACATACTCTTGTTGGTGGGGTGATGGAGTTTTGGAAGTCGGTCCATGGGGTGTCATACCTTTGTGTCACCTGCTGTACTGGTCTAAGGCGCAGGCGTGCATGTACCCCTGAGCTTCCGTCGAAGTGATTCTTGAAATGGTTGTCGGGGGGCAAACAGCCGTCAGTCGTAGTTTTACAGGGTACTTTCACACCATACTTTGCACTACACGACCCATGGAAGATCGCAGTGTAGTGTCAAGTGCGGTTGTGGGTGCATCGATTGAACCAGTTTGCAGGCATGTCTCGGGGCAAAATGTATGCATACGCCTGCCCCAAGTCGCTCAGTGGTTGCGGCTTGTGAAGTTTAACGCAGTCTCGGTAACCATGCCCTCGGCATCGACCATCACTGAACGGCAGACTGCCCAGGCATCTCTAGGGTTCCACATGGCGCCATGGACACTGGTGCCGCACCTACACATGCACGCTATCGCGCCCCTGAGAAGTCTCAACATCTGGCAACGATTTCATTTCCTCGTCGGTTCCTTCTGGTGAGATACATATGTCAGATATCAGATATGATATACTTGTGCAAGACCAGGCAATGAGTGCCGTGCTTGGGCCTACCCTGGCGTGGTGATGTATGTCGAGATATGTCCCCCGGCATAGCAGCAGCGGACGTTGGCATGTCATGTTTATGTGCACCATGCTTGAATCACACTAAAACATCATATTTATCGTCACCATTCCAACACACAACGGGGTTCTCATTTCGGGTGCGGTCGCCCAAGCCTATCGATAGAGTGCATGCACTGGCATTGTTTCGTCCGACAGTACGCCATGGCATGGCGCTGTCGCGGCGAGACTTCGAGGTAGAATAAACGGAAAGTTCCGCAAACGGTCTCTATTCATCCACCAAACACGCCGTATCTCCACGTGCTCTTTGTTCGAAACGTGCAGGTATCAGTCGGCAGAAAAAATCCTGGGTCGTCTCAAGAGCCAGCAGACGACCCAGCTTACCCTGTGACCGATTTTTTTTACGGAATCGAACCGCGTGAAGAGCACTGCGCTTCCGGCCTTTTGGTTCTAGTGGTGTTTTCCGCAGTCGTGTCTCAGTTGGTGCAACTAGTGTAGTCCAATGTAGCTGGCCAATGGCCATCTGGCCGTGTATCCTATTGTTGTGGTTGATTTGTCGGTGTAGATGTAATCGTCCTTCTCGCGAAGGAGCAAGAGTTTACATGACGTGGTAGGCAGCTCCAGTCAAGTCCATGTCGTTTTCGCTAAGGACAGAACAAAAACATTTCCCGGAGCTGCCTTTTGATTGGGGAGGCAGGGTCTCGTGTTCAATTTATTTTTCTCCCCTAATTTTGGAGGTGATCTGTGAAAGGGTTACATCTCCCCCCTGTGCTTGTCTGTCGAGAACGATCCCCTCTCGTCACATTCCTGGGACTGGAATTTTTGAAGAATTTCTGAAATAGGGATTGCCACAAACGGTGTTCTGAAGAAAAGAAAAAAATAAACATGTACCATTTTTTTTTTTCCTTCAAGCAAGTCGATTGATCGATTGAGTGGTGCACACTGTTTGCGGTGGCTCACTCAGGTTTGAGGTTGGATTGAAAGTCGAGTTGATTTGGCTTGGCTTGGCTTGGCTCAGTTGCTGTCATTGTTCTGGTCTCTCACGGCTATCCTAACCTTTTTAATCGTTCAGTCGAGTGAGGCCACGGTGGTGTCCATCATGTACTCTGCACGGTAGTTCAGCAGCAGCTACAGCATACTTGTCTAAGTCTATCTCATGAGTTTCGCCGCACTACACGATGAGGATGAACGTGAGCGTAGCAGCATGCTGCGGTGGTTTTTTCCTATTTCTATTTTTTTCTTTGGTCCCTGTCCTCTTCCGTTTTCGTCTGCGCCAGGCCAAATTGCAGTGGGATTATGTATGCCACGTTTCGTTTTGTTTTTCAGCTGCCCCCCTACTGGTATATCGGGCCAACACACCACTTCTGCAGAAATGGCAGCGAACTGTTTGTTGGTCAGTTGCAGCGCGTTCCTGCCTCTGCCGAGTTTTTGTGGAAGTGCTTCATGGGGACTGATCTATAATTCCCCTGTAGGTAAAGTATAGCAAGCATTGATTATAGTTTTTTGTTAGATCACCCTTGAAACATTATGTGCATACGTTCTTGTGTGTGAGGGCGTATGGTGAGACAGACGTACTACCATCACAGGAGAAGCCGATCACGGTGCCGTTTTTGGGAGGGGGCGCGTGGTGATCGATGTGAACGCACGTCCGGCAGTGATTGGCTGAACTTGTAGCGGCGGGGTATGAGAACAGCTAGTCGGTCGTTGCTCGCGGCGGTGGTGTTGGGACGAGGACGATATTCTTCTATATGTATCTGTAATGCCGAGCATACATGTAGCAACGACGATGACGCAACGTCACTGACCTGACCGTGTGTCAGACAGGACCCATTTATTCCTCCAAGGGTGTCTTGTGGTGTACATTGTATGCATACAGTATGTCACCTTTTCGGTGTCTCCGGATCCTAGGGCAGCCCACGTTTTGAACTTGTGGTGGGCTTTTTCGTGGCCCGATCGAAAAAAAAGCAACCGCATTCGGCTGGGAACATGGAACAACAATCAGCCTGGTGGCTCTAGACTAGATTAGTTTCTGAGAACTGCAGGAGGACTGATTGCGGAGAGCATAGGTTGATGCATGTAGCACAAAACAAAAAAATAGTCTTACATTCTGAAGGGTTCAATGTCCGGCACGATCGCGCCAGCGGGAAACACACCACTCGTTGGTGGAACTTACTACGCGGTCCTACACCAGCCATCAGCAAGGACAAAAATACCAAAAATCGATATCGTATCCCTGGCCGGGCTGAGAGCATCATCGATCGCTACCAACTCCCCCAGTTATCAGTGATGCCCGTTGGAGCAAAGAACAAAAGCATCTGTATAGGCGGATGGATTCTTATTTTTATGTGGAATGTGGCCTTCACAGGCAACATGGCGCAGTGTCGTTTCACAAGTTGCTGTTTTTAGAAAGTACTTTTCCAACAGCTCGCAGGGGACCATCACGCACGAATAGACTGCCATGCTTCTACGGCCGAGCCTGTCCAAACACGGTGCATCTCTAAGTGTCTTCTCTATAGCGTGGCACATCCTCAAGGCTGCAAAAGTACCTGCGGTTTTATCAGGACGTGCAGGCTTGGGGTTGTGCAGTAACAACACAAGTTATTTCGAAACTGCCATGTACACACAAAAAAAAAAAGACTTCTGTTTAAACGTCGAATCGATCACAATCCAGTTTCGAGAAACTTCCGGTGGCGATACGATGCCAAATAATACTAATTGCAACGTGCGTGTTTCAGTCGCTACAGGGCTACAGTAGTACAGCGATCTGGTAACGTCCGCTTGACACCTTTATTCAAAGAAAAAGACACCCACCTTAAAAAAACCAGGAAAGAGGGTCCAGCTCTAATCTAGACCTTCAATATAAACCCTCGATGCCAACGCTCGCTCATATCAATGGCAAACTATTCGAACAATTCGAACACAACGAGGAGGTAAGACAGCCAGCAATGTTCTCAAGGCCTGCTGCTCCTGACCCAGCCTTACTTCCGAGCACACGGTAACCGAGAATCGCTGCTGCAAGGAGTCTAGCTCCGCCAGCACCAGCAACAGCGCCAGCTGCGTCCGTTCCTGGAGTCGGTCGTGATTGCTGCCTACCATGGTTATTATTGCCTCAATTTCTCATTGACTCATGTTTCTCACGGCGTGGCGCAACGACGTTGGCTCAGTAGAAGATCCCCTGCCCACCGATAATCACCAGCACAGCCTGGGCAAAACGTGCAAACAAGACGTCCGGAAGGCGCGGAGGAATTCAGCGACAGAAAGGACCGTTGGGTTTTTCTCACCCCGACCGCACAGCCAGAAAGTAGCAGCACACAGTTAATGGAGCAATCTACACGAAAAAAACAGGCGGTTGTTTCAACCGGTGCACCAAACCATAAAAAACAAACAGTCGGTGCGGCTGTGATTTGCAACGCAAAATTACGAGGAGGACAACGGAAAATAAAGAAAAGGAGGGCGTACGAGGGTCATGTCGACGGAGCCTCTTTCAAACCCTTTCTCTTTCGAACTCACAATGATGCCTGCAACGACCAGGATTGGATTTCCCGCGCTCCTGTTGGGATCTGCGCCTTGAGAAATAAGCTCCTGCCTCAGGCGCTTCTGCATGTCGTCAGAAATCTTCCGCTTGGGAGGCATGTCCTCAGGACGAACTCCGGGGGCCAGTGTTTCCTTGACCTCGTTTTCCTTGTCCGATGCTGGCCGGATCTCCGCCTCGCTTTCGGCTGCCGCTGAACAACACAAGAAAAAACAAAGATAAAAGAGGAGCAAAAGAGAGGGAGTAGAGGAGAGGAGAGGAGAGGAGAGACGATGAGGGAAGGGCGGAAGGCTGAAAGAGACGAATGTTGAGTAGTGTGGGTGCACAGGCAGGGGCGAGCCAGGGCATGTGAGGTGGTGCGAGTTTGAGGGGAAAACTAACGAGACATTTCCGCAGGAGTGTCACTAATAGATGTGACATTAAACGAATGCCTACTTCAAAATGTTCATGGTTTGGCAGCGCAATCTCTACCCCGGGCACCATCACCTGAAGAAAGAACCTGCATGATGAGTAACGATACAAACCAGGGACTGGAGTACATTTTCCCAAGGCGTTGTGAATAAACTTGGTGCAGTGCAATACATCCCACACGGTCGTCCCGGTGGTCTAGTGGGTAGCCTCGCAGCCTGCTAAGGGCCAGGTCATGGGTTCAAGTCCCGACAAAGTGAGTTTTTCTCGCACATTAAATCCTGGTCTCCGTTGGAAGCGACGCGCTGCAAAGCTCGTTGCTAGTAAACTTGATCCACTTTATTAGTCGCGAGGGAAGGGTACCCTTCTCGCGACAAAAATATCTCATACAGGAGCGGCAGGAGGGGGTCCAACCCCCTCCCTCCTATGCGACCCCGGTTGGGTCGTCTAGCTGGTAGAAGTGGAGGATAGGGGCCAGGTAGGCACATTACAGCGGGAAGCGCCTCGGCAGAAAACGCAACAGACTCTTGGCGTGAATCGAGCAGAAGAAGAACTGACATTCACGGAGAGCGGCGGCCTGTTCTTTCAATCGCTTCGCCGTTTCCTCGGCGGCACTCATGGCGTCCCCGTCTCCATCAGCCATGCGGAGGGCACCAACACCGACCGCCCTCACCGAGTGCCTGCGAGCAAACGAAGGCCATGGTGGAAGGAAAACAATGGTGAGGCATCAATGGATGGCGACCCAATTCCACGCATCGGCTACTAACACAGCCCCGCGATGTCAACTGAGAGATTCTCGATGCTATGTCTAACCTCTTTCCTTTCCTTTGCCCTCTCTTGTCAGCCTGTGCCTAGCTTGCTCGTATACCATCACTACTCCCTCGGCCCGTTGAACTAGCATACTTTCATTTGCAACATTCTTGGACTGCTGTCATCTACTGTACTTTGCCTCTCTCTATTTCATTCACCTCGCGCCTGAGTGAATGAAATGGCTCGATTCCCCTCAGCATAACAGACCGTTCGTCGAGGTAGATTGAGCACAAGGGACAAACGTTTTACTGTGCGTGGAAGCACGCGAACCACGTAGCTCATTCTCTGATGGACACCCACATGATACTGTAGAGTCCAATCTCAACTGAGCAGTGCCTATGTCGTCCAAGTCGGGAACAGGGAGTGTTCCAGGATCAAGGGCTTTAGATCTTTTCCATGCATGTACGCAATAAACAAGGGTGTTGCTGTCTTCAGAAAAAATACGCAACATCCAAAGAGAGACTACCCGCTCGAGGCCGCAATCCGTTCGAAGGTATGTGTTCGTTGGAAGCATTTTAAAGTAAGGACACTTTTCGAGTGAGCACTTTGCGTGAGCCCCAGGTTGTTGGCACCGTACAAAAAACATCCACTCCTTGAGTTCGTACATGCCTCGAGAACGTGCAGTACCATGACCCTCGTGTTTGGCAGATTCCAACAACAGCAGTATCACACTAATACAGGCTTCTTTTTTCATTCGAGTGCAAGATTTGCTTTAAAAGCAATCAGCAAGTGCAGATAACACACGCAAAAAGGAAACCTGCGAGCACAAGCGGGTCAAACAGTGATCGACCGGCTCTACTACATGATTCGCCACGCGCCACCCGCTCTAATTTCATGACAAGCCACACGCCACGATGATACAAGCTATGACATGAAGCACTTGCGGTATTTTGGAAGTGCGGGAATTCTTCGGCTGATTACCGACGCTTGTTTCACGGCTGCAGCATTGAACAGGGGGGGATTTCGCGTTGTTGAAACCTTCGTTGCTGCTCTCATCATTTCAAGCGTGTGTCATCGCAACACAGCTTGTTGTTCCGTGTCAGCGATAGTGTTGTTACAGAATAGTCGAAATAGAGCAGTTGTGCTGTATGATCCAACCAAAAGAGTTCCACGTGTTGAGAGGGATCAGAGATCAACTCATTTTGACGTGCACATACCGTGGGTCCTTGCATTCAACGTGTCTCTGCGAAATATCCATGGACAATTAGAAGAGTGCCTGTCCAATAGGTCAATAGGTCGCGCGGGTAGGGTGGGAGGTGGAGACGTACATGCTCGCACGTCACGTATCTCCCTGTCTGTGTCACCAGGTGTCACGCCCGCTGTGTCATGTTTCTGGATGTCGTTATGATCTATCATAATGTGCTTTGATACTAGAGCACCGCCCTCTCCAATCGCACGTTTCAGCTGCATCGCAAAAAGCTTACTCTACACGAAGACGTCGAGAACGGGGACAAAAACAATGCTGGTGTGTCGAGTGTATCAAGCTTGGCTTACAGGCGGGAAGAACAAGTCGGGCGCGGTTTAACTCCTCCGTGCAGCATGCTCGGACTGACGAATGCATCTGCTGTTTGCCCAACAAATGCGGCCAAGAGGCCGGACGCAACGAGGGCGTTCATGGACAGCATGCTGATAAGATCACGGGCCAGGAACTTGTGCTGTTGGCGGGTATTGGAGGTCTTTGGTGGGCGGGGTTGTCGTGCAAGTGGGTGTGCTGGTCGAGCCAGCTGGTCGGCCGCTCGCTATTTTTATTTTTTATTTTTCTAGGTACGTAAATAGTTCACCCTGAATTCTTGTCCATACCCAGGTCATACAATATGCGAGCCCCCCCACAGCAACAGCCAACACACAAAGCAGCAACATCACACACCAACACACCTGCAGCAGCAGGCAGAGACAGAGAAACAGAGAAAGCAAATGGAAAGTGACGACGACTACCCTCCTGACCTGGTGCCCGCGCAGGAGTTGTTTTCGCTGAGCTCAAACGATACGCTACCAGAGGACACAAGCTCATCACAGCCTACACCCGTTGCAGAGGTTGCCGTAGGGGTAGAGAGGCCATCAACAGCACCAGGAGCTGTGCCGGTAACGATCGTAACAGGCTTCCTGGGAGCAGGAAAGACGACCCTGCTCAATTACATACTCACCCAGGACCATGGTCGACGCATCGCGGTGATTGAGAACGAGGTTGGAGACAGCATGGACATCGAGTCGCTTATCGCGAAGGTGAGGAGAAACGAACAAGACGGGCCCTGCCTGTTCGTGCGCCATGGCAATTACAGGTGTCAGTAAATGGCACTCTGTACAGCAGTTAAGCTGTACCTAGTCGTTTACATGGGGCGTTGAGATATTTAGCAGCACTGCCATAGGCCTCTGTACGGACTGCTGTAGCCAGGCACTGCCGTGACCTTGTGGTAGGTCATCCTACATTCCACATTTATTTTTATAGGTTTTGAGGCATTCGTTTGACAAAACGCTGCCTTGTCGTCCGTTCAAAGAGCACTTTCAACATTAAACACCATTTGGCAGTTATATGGAGGTCAGGATGGAAGGATATGGTAAATTCATGTGCTATGGACTCACATGTGTGGCCGCTGGGGAGCGTGGCGGGAACGCGGCAGGCCACGGCAGGCAATCGAGGGCATGGTACGACAGGCTGGATCATGAGTGTGGCGAAGCTCGTGGCGGGGGCGTACATATCGCCTATCGCCTTCAGGATCCACGCCCGAGGATTCCCCCCTGCCGCAGCTTTCTGGACCCGAGCGACTACCCCCGCTTTCAGAGAATCGCAACGATCTAGAAGCAACGTGGTGCTCTGTGAGCTGGAGGCATCTGCGTGGTGGTACTGGAAAACCTACGCAATTGCCAGAGTGTCGGTGTCATCGCGCGGTCACCGTTGTGGGCGGTGCCGCTGTACCTGTCACTCCTGTTGCTTCCACGCTGTCGCCGTGGTCGTTGTTGACGCCAATGTGAAAAGAGAAAAGACGGAATCGTCCTGGACAGATGAGACGTCGCAAAGATTGTATGTACCCTTTATGATAGGGGTCGCCACAGTCAGTTGCAGCTCATAGTCCAATACGTCGGCGATGTACAGACACAACCCGCCGTTTGCTCTTCACACTAGTCCCGTGTATTCGGTTGTAAGCCATGACTACCTACAACACGTGCCGTTCCCGTTGTTGCAACAGGATGGCGCCGACGGATCGGTCTTGGCGGACAACCTTTTCGAGCTCAGGAACGGTTGTATTTGCTGCGCGGTCAAGGACGACCTCGTCACCACCCTGGAGATGTTGCTTCAACGAAGGAACAAGTTCGACTACATCATCATCGAGACTACAGGCCTCGCCAACCCGGTGAGAGCACGATTCGCCTCTTCAGCGGGTAGATGTGTGGGCACCGTAGCGCAAGCGCGGCCATTTAGTCTCCACACTGCATTGCCTAGAGTGTCATCTCGAAAAGAATATCCGTTTTCAACCGTGTACCACCTTGCTGAGTAGAATCGTGCACCGTGCGGTTTGTGTGTACATGTAGGCTGTCGATGCCCTATTCTACAATGCACAAACGAACACCATTCAGATGCAGTAGTCGAACCAGTTTGTTTATGACATGTTAGGAAGCTGACAATGACGTCGAATTTTTGTGCTGCCCGTCGCTCTTTCCCATTTTCCAGGGTCCTGTAGCGAGTGTTTTTTGGCTTGACGAGGCCTTGGAAAGCGCTCTGCGGCTCGACAGCATAGTCACCTTGGTGGACGCCAAGAATTTTGTGCGACAGCTGCAGCGCGTTCCGGGTGAGGGAGCCGAGGCCGGCGCGGAGGGAGAGGAGCAGTCCGGGACACGCCCCAAAAATGAGGCTGCCATGCAAGTGGCCTACGCTGACCGCGTCCTCATCAACAAGGTGCGGTCGTATTGAAAGACGGCACACCAAAAGGAGCACGTGGCGTGCAGGCGCGAGCGACGCACCCCAAAGCAGCTGCGTTAATGTTGAAACGTTCAACCCGAGAAAATAACTGTATAAATTTTACAGCAGTGACAGCAGCGACATGCATGGAGTTCGCTGTTGCGTTGGTGTCCTCCCTCAACCCTCCCCGCCTATGCTGCTGCTTTGCTTCTTGTGTTGTCTCTCTCTCTCTCGGGCGACGTCTCCGTTATCGAAGAGTGACCTCGTGTCTACCGAAACCCTCAAGGACGTGGTTGGACGAGTGCGAACAATCAACGCTCTAGCCGAAGTTCGTTGCACCAAGCGCTCCGCGGTGGACCTAGCGTGGATTTTGGACACCGAATGCTTCTCCTCGGAGCTGGCGGCAGCGGTAGACCCTTCGCTCGCACCGCCTGGGGCTTTGCTAGGCACAGCCCAACAGAACGAAGGCGGCAGAGGCAGTAGCGCAGCGGATCGAGGGATCGCTCGAACGGGGTCTCGTCCCGGGGATGCACATGTTCATGCCCGTGACGTTGAGCCGAGAGCGGGGCACACGGAGAGCTTTCACCACCATGCCGACGGAGAAGCATGCGATGAGTGCGCCGCGGTAGAAGGGCCTGGCGGCACGGCTTGCTCTGTGCATGACCCTTCCGTGACCACCTGCGCGGTAGACTTGCCAGGTTCGTTGGACCTCTCGCGTCTGGAGCGGTGGCTTGGGGGCTTGCTATGGGACCCACCCCCAGGAGGGACGGAGGTGTATCGCGTCAAGGGGGTGGTTAGCGTGGAGGGTAGAGGCGAGCGCTTCGTCGTCCAGGGTGTGGCTGACCTGTTCGAGGTGACGCCGGTAGAGGTGATCGGCAGTGCTTGGCAAGAAGGAGAGGCACGACGGTGCAAAGTGGTGTTCATCGGGCGGTTGCTGTCCTCGAGGGACCTCGAGCGAGGCATAAGGTCGTGTATGGTTCAGGACTAGAGATCGGTGTTGTTTTTCTTCGCCGGAGAATGGTATGCCCTTCACACCATTTGTTAGCGCGGAGGGACACACACGTGCGTGTTCGTGTTTTCCTTCAAACGTTGAAGCTCGTGCCTGACACGAGCCGAGCTGATGTTGTTGTCTCCTGGCTTGGTTGGTGATGCTGGGTAGGCCTTGCATCGCCGAACCTAGCAAGAACATTTTGTATTGCTCCCGTGAAGTGGTCGCGTAAGCCGTATGGTACTTGGTGTGAAGCGGATGAGGAAATGCATTCGGCATTCGTGGTGGGTGTCCACGTGTATTTCTACAGCCATAGGGCTTCTTGGGGTGAATCAAGATTGATTAAGCGACACCCGAACCCTACCGTAGTCTCGAGTATGTAAGTGCTAGTGTTGCCTTGCCTGCTTGCTGTGTACAATAGCAAGTTACACCCACGAGACTCACCAAGAATTCATGTTCTGTTCCTGCAACGTAGACGAGGTATCTAAGTGGAAATGGTGCATTGGAGCGCCGTTAAAAAATGTTTCAGTGTTGACGTGTGTACCCCATCTATTCTGACACCAGACTGCGCACAGGTGTCTATGCTAGACATACGCACATCAGCCAGGGTCACACAGGAGGACACACAGGCATACAGGAGCTTTGTTTTTTCTTCGGAACAAAGTGACACCCCCTCGACGACGTCACCACCAGTCGACCAGGGAAATCAACCAATCACAACTTGTTCCGTGTATTTGATTTCAACTCCCCGCCTTTCCTCCTGCGTTGAACGCCCTTGATCTTATCGCGAGAGATGTTGAATTTGATTCAGCTGTCCCTTTACCCTCGTGTCGATGCTGAGGTCCAAGGTGTGAATACAATGCACATAGGCATACTCACGAACAAAGGTTTTCCACCGAAACTTGCAATATTTTCTTTCACTCCAGTTAGAGAATCGAACTCCAACCTGCTACCATACTAGAATGTTCACGAGGTTAACAACCATCATAGCACACCACCGGGGCGACCAACACTCCCACCACAACTACTATGCGTACCACCATTACCACCACCAGCAACGTGAACATCCAGGAAAAGCTCAACAATCCTCTAACCGCGACGGAGGCGATGCGGCAGCGCAGCCCAAATCTGACTCCTATTCATGTAAATAGGGAAAAAAGCTTTCTGTGATGTGACAGACTTGGGCGGTTCGATTCGCAAGCGTCCAAAGGCACGAAGAGAAGGCAGACCAAAACATCACTCCCTTTTCAAGAAGGAACCACGGCAGACAAGAGTATAAGATCGTACTGCCAGCATACACAATTCATGGCACTTCGCATATACCATCACAAACACCAGCACCTCGTACTTACACACGTACATCAAACACAAAAAACAGCATCGCATGCAGCGTGCTCGCGCTTCCCCACCGGGCACATTCAGTCGAAAAACCGGGGGGATGAGCTACTTCCCAGGTTTGATCTGAACCGTGCACCTGGAAATGTTGCCACGAGAATGGGGGAAGGGAGAGAGCAAAAGGGGCCGTGAGATAACGCGCACGGGTGTTGAGGCGTGAAAGGTGTACGACAGGCGAGAACCCGGAGCTGAATGTATACCTTTAACGACTACAACATGAACGTTTTTGGGTGGGGGCGGGGGG